TGACTGCCCCCCAGGACCTCCTGCTCCCTTACCCGACCCCCCCGACCCCTTACCAGCAGCAGCAGCTTGCAGCCGGGACACCTGGACAGAGCCAGCTGTGCTCCCCATGCTGCCCAGCAGGAGCAGCGGGCCAGAGTGCGGCCCTTGTGGCTGCGGGGGAGGGGGGACAGTGGGGGAGGGGCTAGGGACTAGGTCCTCAGCTGGGAGCTCAGGGGCTGGGCAGGACGCTCCTGTAGACCGTAGTTTGCCCATGTCTGGACTAGACCCTGTGGCTCCATGACACCTATCCCAGGCATGTGCTGATGGTCCCTCTAGCAGAGACCCAGCATGTGTGTCTGTCACAGGTGTTGGCAGTGCCCAGAATGAATTCCTGTATTGGATGCACACAGTCATGTCTGTACTTTGGTCTGCTGTAAATGTCACTTCGCTCTCTGTCCTGCATATAACCTTGGGAGTTGGGGCCCCCTAAGCTTCGTGATCCGGGTCAGCCTTCCTCCGGCCACAGACCGCCTCTTATCTTGCCTACCCTGCTTCTGCTTCACTTGAGCGGGAGAGACTGGGCCTAGAAGAGCAGGTAGGGGTGCCAACTGGTACGTGCTGATGGTGCCAGCCCAGTGCTGGCTAGATGCCATGCTGCTGTGGTCAAGAAAGCTGTGCAAATGTGGCTCTGTTCACCTCGCTCCAGCCTGACTGGTCCCACAGCAACCTGCAGAGGAGGTGGAGGGGAATGCTCAGGGCCGGTGTAACCACTAGGTGAACTAGGCGGCTGCCTGGGGCGCCAAGATTTGGGGGTGCCAAAAAGCGGTGCCCACATTTTTTTTCCCACTATTGCTTAGGGGCAGGTACCTGTCAGTCTCCAGCGCTCGGCCCATGCCAGCAGCCTCTTCACCTCGGAGTCTCCCCTGCTTGCCTGGGGGTCGCTACTTCTCTCGGTCTCCCAGGCTGCGGCCACCCGGGGGGATGCGGGTGGGGGGCACCGCCACGGAGGAGACGCAAGGGGCCGGGCTCGGCTGGGGCCCCGCCCCTGCCGGCCAAGAGCAGCAGGAATTGGGCGCCGCTCAGGGGAAGCCGGTCGGCCCGAGCCCAGGGCAACAGCAGCCTCCACAGCAGCAGGGCCAGGCAGGGAGTGTAGCTCACCATGGGGCAGGAGAAGCCGCACTGCTGCTGCTGCTTCCCGCCTACAGCCGTCCTTTGTGTGGCACTGCAGGGCAGTGAGAATCTTTGTGAGATGTGTGCATGGGTAATATTGAAAGAATAATGTATTTACCTTAAAAGTCTGCTTTATAGACTTGGAGTAGTCACCAGGGGATAATGGCCCTTTGGGGCAAGGGGGATTTGTCACTCTGCCTAACCTGGCTGGTTGCATCCAAAGAAGTGAGGTTTTTACCCACGAAAGCTTATGCCCAAATAAATCTGTTAGTTTTTAAGGTGCCACCAGACTCCTTGTTGTTTTTGTAGATACAGACTGTCATAACTATAAAGGGAAGGGTGTAACAGCTGTCCTGTGTACAGTACTATAAAATCCCTCCTGGCCAGAGACTCCAAAATCCTTTTCCCTGTAAAGGGTTAAGAAGCTCAGGTAACCTGGCTGGCATCTGACCCAAAGGACCAATAACGGGACAAGATACTTTCAAATCTTGGGGAGGGGAGAAAGGCTTTTGTTTGTGCTCTTTGTTTGGGAGTTCGTTCGCTCTTGGGACTGAGAGGGACCAGACAT